TATTATTTTCACCTGTTATCAGGAAGATGCTGCTGCCCATCTCCTGATTCAGGTTCAATCTATCGCCTCTTACGACACCCAATGGGTGGTGATGGGCTGTGGGGTAATTTTATCATCATTGACAGTGCAGTTGTGTAGCCCCAGCGACTTAAAAAGCCTTCTCTTTATATAGCACTCTGAAATTTATGAATCCAGGCCAGAAAGTTGTTCATATACAGTTTGACGAAACTTGCACTTAAGGCGTTGAGATATTCACATGAATATTAAATTATTATAATCGCTCTCCAAGGTTGCTTCTAAATTTAAAACACACACACACACACACACACATGTTCGCTTGTAATCAACTGCTCTTAAAGTCACTTCAAACCTTTTAAAAATATCGCGTCCGTAAAGTAAAAAGTTTTTACGATAGCAATTAATTAGGACACGAGAAGAGCTTCGATCTACTATTTCTACGTCTTTCAACGTTCCTAAAAAAATGGTGGAATTTAAAACTTCGTTATAATTTCTTGTGATCATAAATTGATATAATATTATTTTTCAATGCTTTATTTATTATTTCGTGTTTCGAAACATTTTATACGAACAATTTTATGTTTGATAAAATTCTTTGAGTTTTTGATAAAAATAAATTTCACTGATGTGGAGTTCAATAATAAATTCTGAAATGACAAGAAGTATTTTAATAAAAAACTTGTCTAATTTGTCGATGCAGTGAACCACAGAGCGATATGAAAATATATTCATACTATACACAACCTTTACCAGACCTAGACTACGAGTAGCAATTAATTTTAACTACAGATCTTAATTAAATTATTCATTCACAAACTTGTACCAAATGTGTTCATACAGTGTAAATTTGTTTGTCCCCTCCTACCGGCTACTTTTATAGATTAGTTGCCTAAATTAAATAATTAAATTGACTGGTACCTACATAAGAAAACTTTCAAATATCTTTACAATTTTATTCAAATTTATTTTATTCAATATTATTTAGACAATATTTTTATGAAATTACAGTTCGTTGACATTTGTCGTAATCGATGCAATCAGATGGTACGTAACGCTAAACGCCGCTATATCCATACTAATATTTGTAACCCTTTGCCAGCCGATGTTTTCGAAATTTCTAAAACCTTTTGGTGTGGGTAAGGTACCTAACCACGATCGCGGTTAATATAATGTTAAGTTTACATACGTACACAGGAATCCTTAAAATGACAACCCCATTTCAGCACACAGACTGGGCATAAAGTAGCAGTACTACAGCAGCAGCTCTGTGTTCCTCGACACGACTACCCAGCGTGGTGAAGAACGACAGAATATTGACGAATATTTCACGCTAGGAAGCCCAGGACTTAAAAATCAGAGACCAGGAACTCTACAAGTTGGATCGTTTAGTTGGTCGTTTAAACGAGAATCTAGTAGATACAAATTGACCCAGAACTAGGGCTTGCAACATGCATTTAGAATATCAGAAAGGTACAAATATTATTCTACGTTGATTATTATTAACGTTATAGATTCAAATAAAATAGATTAATTTTATTAAGTACTAGCTGGTACTTGACGCGTTACTGCCGCAGACAAAATAATTGTGGAAATATCGTTTTAAATCTGGAACAGTTATATTGATTAATTTTATTATTAATTAGGAATCATAATAAATTTATTGAAGTTGAATTGTATATAACTTTCAAATAAATTTGTCGGTACGATACACACGCCACAAAAATAACACAGTTGGCAAAGTTATACCGCGTTCTGATGAAAGGTATGACGGCGCATAAAATACGAAGAACAAAAATTATTTTTTATAAATCAGAGAGATTACAAATAATACATACTGTCCTGGGAATATCAAGCACAAACCCCAAACATTTTTTAACATTTTTATTTATTTTAAAAGCATTTAGAAACAGTGTGCGTTACACAGTCATATATCTGTGGTAATATGGTATGTTTTAATAATTAAGTTATATAAAGTTTAAAGAAATTTTGTAAGTATCCTAAGTTAGGATATCGTAAGGTTCACGTCTTAATATTTTCTTCCAGTTGCGTCATTGCAGATGGTAGGCTTTCTTTCATTTAAAATGGACGGTAATATAACCTTAAATTTGTCATGTTTTCGCATAATTAGAAGTAGCATTAGCATCTTTTTAGTGCCAAACTTTCATATAATACAAGACATTGATAGATTCTACGTCATCAACACCATGACTTTTTAAAATTTGCCCCATATGACTATACGCAAAAAATTATGCAAGCCCTATCTGAAGTGCGCAGTTCACCGGAGGAAGCTATCAATCAACTTATTGCCGCTCCTCGCTTATTGCCTCTATTTTGGGGCTCGGTAAATTACCCTTGCCTCTGTAACAGCAACTTTGTTAAGAACTAATTTTCCGCGATAATCGATCTACTTCTCAACGTTAGCTTCAAGTTAGCTGTGGCTAATCAAATTTAAGCGACAGGATGCTGTAATTATCAAATGTCTACTAAATATAGTTAAAAATTACCTTTTACAACTGTGATGTGTTCGCTCTCAACCAACCTTTCAACTCTTCGAACATCTCTAGTTTGATCATCGATGTTAAACGAATAAATATCGATGATTCATTTCATCCATTACAGCCTATAAAATCCACTGCTGAACATATCCTCCTCCATAGATTGCCTCATAGGAGGGGGGGGGGGATTAATTATGCATTTTTTTATTATCTTGAGTAGTTATCAGAAAGATAGCTGCTTAACATCACCTGTTTCAGTTTCTCTCTGTCGCCTCTTACTACATCCACGGTACAATATGGGGTAGTGGATATTCTTACACCGCCATTACACGATGTAATATGTAAACATCGTAATATGAATCACACGAACACAATTTTAAGTCACAACATCAATATCACGTGTAAAAATGTAAAACGTAAATATCAAACTTAACCTATAAATTGTGAGCTAGATTATATATCATATTGAAATTTCGATATTGCTACAAGCTCACGTAACTTACGGTGCTGTACTGTATATTTATGTTGCTATTTTAACATGTTATTTGTAGTGCTTTAGAGGTGATCGATGTTGGACTACGATAGTTATAACATGGATGTTAGCATTAATGTTCTTGCAACTTGTACCACATAAATAAAAAACCACCATGAATAATGCTGCTGTGTTTCGTATGGTGAGCGACAAGAACCGGAGACTATTTACTGGTATAAAAGCATTTCATCTCAGTCCACAGGCAGGGCTGTCTTTATCCTATTGGAGGCTCTGAGCACATTAGGATAATATGACCTTGACAGAGCACTATTTTGTTAGAATAGACAATAAAAGTAGATAAGCAAAGGTTTAGATTTATTTTTAATTCTTTACTTTTTTTATTTTCTTTATATTAAGTGAATAGATAATACAATATAATCCACAAAAGTAACTCTTTTAGCATTCACAGGTTAGTGCTTAAAAATCTATGTTGATTGAACTACTACCCTACTAGATTTGAGATGGGCAAAATCGTTAGTTAATCACTTCTTTAAAATCTATGTTTTTGAGCATATCACATTCTATGGACATCAGCAACAAACAGCTTAAACCCTCTTGAAACATTGTATTTCTTAATTAATTCTTTATTATTTTCAGTTTGGAGAAGGAGCGTTGCCTAGTACAGTCAGTTACAATCATACTTAAACAATTCTCAATGCGATTTCTACATTTGGAAATGTGTCTTCAATTTTGTTTTCTGTTAAATGCAGACATTTCATTTCCAACTCTTTTTTGTTAATGTCTTCATAATAGATTTCAGCAAATTCAATTCTTCGGAACTTTGTCTCAACTCGTCGGAATTCAGTTTTCAAGCGAAAAAATAAACCAATACTTTGACTAATGTTCTTTTACGAACGCGCTAAGTGCTGTTTTAGATGGGCACTCAGGGTATCAATTATGGGAAAAAAGGTTTCTACTTAGAATTTATCTTTTCCATTCAGTTGGACTGACGGCGCAGAGTCATCCAAAAAAACTGTTGCATGAGTTTCTACGTCTTGTTTTTGAGATAGGTCCCTGTAGTCAGTTTCTTTCTTTGGCGGATGATCTGAAATAATCAAATTTATCCCTGATTTAGATATTAAAATCATCAAGTGAAAACCAAATTAGTTGCAGCGTCTAGTGTTTTTGTATATTTCTGAAGATAATTAAGGCCCTGGGCACGTACACAGAGTGCCCGCTAGGAAAGAGGAGCCTGTACTCAGGGGTGACAACGATATCTGCATTTTGATTTTTTTTATCGATGATAGATGTAGGTTTTTATAGGCCACAACATTTACTTACCATATAGACTATGTGCTCCTTTGTCACTCTTAGCACAACTAAAAATATTTCTGAATGTACCTATTTACCCTACGTAGTGCATATAAAGTCACAAATGTTACCACATATGAAGTAAACAATTTATTTCTCAAACCTAATTTTAGAACTATCAATAACTCTGATTAAATTAATGAAGTCTTTTTTGAACACCAAAGAATGATTAAAATAATAAAATGTATAAATATTGAGGGAAAACAAAAGGTGGTCTTATTACTAATACAGCAATATACATAATAGCAAGTTTGCTTTGTAAAAGCTACGCTTAAAACTAACCGAGAATTTTTTTTATTAGAATAAGGATGATAAAGGAGCACACAGTCCACCTGATGGTAAGTGGTCGCAGTGGCCCATAGACATCTACATCTATCGTCGTTTGCGAATCAAAAGTCAGATGCGTTGTCAGCTGTGAGGACTAAGATGGAAAGCCTCTTTTCCAGTAAAAAAGGCCTCCGGTTCTCTACACTCATCATACAAAACACGGCAGCATTAAACTGCTATTTTACGCTGCTATTCTGTAAGAGCATGGTCCTTCCCCGGTCGAGCCGACCCATTCGTGCTACAACTATACTATTAATATAGCTTTATTTATTTATTTATTTTATGAAACATTACAAACTGTCTTTTCTTTGTTACAGGTGCGGTCGCTTTACGAGAAATCGGATAAACGCCGCAATGCCATAATAGGTCTATTAAAAAAGCAATAAAAAGATTAAATGTAGAAACCCCGTAGTATTAGTGACGCTATAAAAAGTGCTAAAAATCTAGTCGTAATTCTTAGAAATTCTTCCATATTAAGTCTAGAGTAGACGCGACGTTTAGAAAGTGGAAAATGTTTTTTAAACTAGCGGTAATAGAGTTGATATCGAATTCAATTGAATTCGATCGCTGTAGTTATATGGTGTCGGTCGGTGGTGATTGTGCGTAGGTTCATATTAAATCGTGAGAATAATGAGCATGAAAAAATGCCACAACGCGCGTCGTCTTCGTCCAACTTGATGCGTCCTTTTGTGGTGTTGGCCCTGCCCGGGATGTATTTGCTGTACAAGTACAACCAGTATCGACAACAGCAAATGGAGACCGCACGGCGACGGGTCACCGAGCGTGAGCTGATGCATCTCAATACTAAAATCGTGAGTAGATTATGCATTAGCATTTCCTTTTTTCTTAAATATTTCACTTGTTAAAACTTTTTTGTGTCCAGTCGACCAGTTTTATTTTGAAGAAGAACATTGTATATGTAATTTCCTTTTTGCTTCATTAGCCGTTCAAAAGTTAACTGCTGGACATGAGCCTCTATCGTGGTTGGGAGAATTTGCCTTAATCTAACGCTTGGCTTGTGAATTGACGATCGCAGTGTCAGATGATTCGCAACTATGACACTGCTGCCATCTGTTAGAAACCGTATGATTTTTCTGACTTTCCCATAGTCGCCACTTACGACCCCCACGTAAGTAAGTAAGGCACGAAATGGAGTGAAGGATTATCTTGTTTCTACACAGGGATATAGCGAGTAGTGTGGTACGAGCTAATGTAATCCTACTTTATCCGCAAAACTGCTAGGCTTAACTCTTGTACACATAGCAGTTTACCTTATTATTACATATTAATAATACTCATATTGTTCCTAACAGTGCTGCTGTGTTTCGTATGGTGAGTGTAGAGAACCGGAGACCCATTTTACTGGAACAGAGGCATTCCATCTTAGTCCTCACGGGTGACGAAGCATCTGCATTTTGATTCGCAAACGAGGATAGATGTAGATGTTTATGGGCCACAGCAACCACTTACAATCAGGTGGACTATGTGTTCGTTTGTCACAATATCCTATAAAAAAACAGTAAAATAAATCAACATTTTATTTACCGTAGTTAGAGTATTTTAAGACCTAACGATACTCTTACATCCATCATAAAAGTAGCTTGCTACGCATGTTATTCAAATTTAATTTCCTTGTACCCAAGTTACTATTAAATAAATTATGAACTATAGACGTAAGTCGGAAAGTTGGCTGGTCGAATCAGTAAGAAATATATTATGTGAAATCATCAACCAGTCTCGAAAAATTAGTGGCCACTGCACAACAAGGCCAGTGGAATAGAAGCGTTTCAAAACGAAACTTACATAATATAATTAATAGAATCAGGCGTTACTTTGCGGAAATCCATTATATAAAAGCTTTTAGAAAAATTTACTTCGCAAATATCCGCGTTATAAAATAAAATTATGTGTCTTACCTAGTATGAAGAGCACCTCCCGCCCGCCCTCAATTGCGTGCACTATCCCCGTCACCACTAATCCCAGCACCGCTACTCCCAACACCACTACACTAGGCAAAACACACCACTGACGATAATACGACACGTGTTTTGCCTCTACACGAGGCATCCTCAGGTGATATAGACTCTACGGTGGCTAACCGCTAAGTTAGGGAGCACGCAATTGAGGGAGGGTGGGAGGTGCTCTTCATACTAGGTAAGACACATCATTTTATTTTATAACGCGGATATTTGCGAAGTAAATTTTTCTGAGAACTTACATAAGGTGCTACAGATTGTATAAGTCATTTTTCGTATTGGAATCAACTTTATTTTAGTGGCTGAAGTATTTCGAGGTTTGTTTTTAACTTCAGAGTTCGCTAACCCTGCCGACAAAACTGAATTTGTAAATATATTAAAGTAACGTGTACTAGCTGCCCGACGGAGAAGATGAATGAACAATTAGCATCTTCGATAAACATACCGAAAACCGAATTAAAGCGACTGACGCTTTCTGCTGTGTCATCCTTTCGAAAATAATGGGTCGCCGATGTTGATTGGTAGAACGTTTCACGCTCCTTATATTATGTAATATCTTTATATATAAAAATTACGTGTCACATTGTTTCTCCGCGATGAACTGCTAAACTATTGAACTGATTTCAATGAAATTTTACACACTGTGTGCAGATTGGTCCAACTTGAGAGATAGAATACTTTTTATCCCGATAAGTGACCTTCAATATTTTTTTATTGCGAATTTAAGGATTTTTTCATAGGAAGGGTCGTCGTATAGGGGAATACAACGTCTACCTGGCAAGCTAGTATTTTATAGAGAGAGGTTAGTTATCCTGTGCTCGAGACTGACCAAGAATGGTTTTACTCCAACACAGATTAAATAATGTTATTACGTAACCCAAAGCGAGGTAAAGCTGGTGCTCATTCCCTCTCTACCTGTTGTATCGGTATCAGTTACTGGATTACAAGGTGGTATTTTGTAGTACAAGCTACAAGGTGATAAGACTCCTTTTCAGGGTAGGTATCACTTTCTTACCTATTTCTGCCACCAAATAATATTGCGTGCACTGCTGTTTTCTAGTATGAATGGTATAGAGAGTCAGCATAAATACAGTCTATGAGGCATTCTATCTTAGTCAACAAAGGTAATTATGCATGTTTAGCCTTCATTAATTGAAGTTGGTTGCAGTTGTCTGTCTATGGGCTGAAGTCGCCGCTAACCCAGGTGGACTGTTATTTTATGAAAGCCTATGTAAAGTCTAAAGCAGAAGTACTCCACGCACAACCGCGGTTTTTTTTTTTATAGGATAGGGTGACAAACGAGCACACAGTATACCTGATGGTAAGTGGTTGCTGTGACCCATAGACATCTACATTTATCCTGAATAAAGAGTCAAAATGCAGATACGTCGTCACCCGTGAGGACTAAGATGGAATGCCTCTTTTCCGGTAAAATGGGTCTTCGGTTCTCTAAACTCACCATACGAAACACAGCAATGTCAAGCTGCCATTTTATGCTGGTATTCTGTGAAAGCGTGGTCCCGCCCCGGTCGAGCCGACCTATTCGTGCTACAACTATACTACTAATATAGCTTCAGCATGGCTCTACCACGTATAAAGCTACCAATTGAGCTTTATTTAAGGTTCGAAGTAAACACGGCGTGAAGTACCGCCGTAACTACATTACATACCGACTTTACATTTATTTATTAAAAGTCATTGGTGTAATAAAGCATTATTGGAACGATGTTCCTTACGGACGGTACGAATTTGGCGGATGGGGTCTAGGCGAGAAAAAGTGTAGGATTTTTCCGTAACGTACCCTTCTGACGTAATGTAGACGGCTTAGGCGGCTATAAGGAAGTAAGATAGAATAACATACAACTCCCTCGCACTTTTTATTATCTTGCCACGAAAGAAATGTTATTTTATTTTAAATGACGCTTCATTTTAATCGATGCTAGTAATTCATTTATTTGTATTTGTTAATCAATAATATAATACGTTTATCAATAATAATATACTACAAAAGGATCTTCGTTCCACGACACACAAGTATTTACTTGTTGGTGCAAAAAAAAATAATACAAAACCTAAGTAAATTAAAAACCGGACAAGTGGGAGTCGGGAGTACGTCTTACGTCATGAGGGTAGCACATAAACTTAATAATGTATAGATGAACTACGTACATAGTACATTCATCTTGGGAATTATAGCTAAGCACCGAACCTTTACAATAACCTACCTTCGGTAGGTCAGATTGAAAAGACAAACTTAACTTTGCAGTGGAAATATGTATTCTCCTATACATCTGTTAATATTGCGGTCGATACTCCAACTGTTAATGTAAGTTTGTAATTGAAAAAAGAATTTTATGTGATACTAGCGATCCGCCCGCGCTTCAAACGGGTGATTCCCAGTAGGTGGTGCTGTTGTTGAGGTCCAGCTCAACAACAACACCACCTACTGGGTCCAAATATAAATCTAAATTATCTAAAGAACCATTGAAACAAAAAAAAATCATCAAAATCGGTCGAGCCGTTTTTGAGTTTTAGCTAAACTAACGGACAACAATTAATTTTTTATATATAGAGATAACTACAAATTACGTAAAGTTTCTTAAATCGTATAGTGGCGTTATTACAGAACCCACTACTAACCTACACTAATGAGACTTAAGCAAAAAAATCGAGAAAAAACGGCCGGAATTAATCAACAGAAAAGGAGTGGTCTTTTATCGTAATAACGCCAGACCACATACATCTCTGGATCTGGCCACTCAGCAGAAATTGGAAGAGCTTGGTTGAGAAGTGTTAATGCATCCACTATATACATCCTGCACTCTCAGATTTTCACCTGTTTCGGTCTCTTCAGAATTCTTTGGGTAGTGTTAGGTTAACATCAATAGAAGACTGTCAAAACTACTTGTCGCATTTTTTTTGCTCCAAAATTCCAAGATATCTACAGGTACGAGATTATGTCACTACTTACAAAATTTCAACAAGTTATCCAACAAAATGGCACATATATATATTATAATGAAACATAATTAAACTTTGAAAAAAATGTCTTGAATTTGTATATAAAATACGATGAAACTTTTTCCCCTACCTTTTATTAATATCAACTTGATACCTCCACCCGTTCCTGAGAAATTGTCTTCAAAGACAGACAAACAAACGGACAACAGATGATTTTGTACGTGGTAGAGCCATGCTGCAGCTATATTATGGTTGTAGCACGAATGGGTCGGCTCGACCGGGGAAGGACCACGCTCTCACAGAAAACCAGCGTAAAATAGCAGCTTAACGCTGCTGTGTTTTGTATGGTGACTGTAGAGAACTGGAGACCCTTTTTACTGGCAAAGAGGCATTCCATCTTAGTCCTCACGGGTGACAACGCATCTGCATCTTGAGTCTTTATTGAGGATAGATGTAGATGTCTATGGGTCACAGTAACCACTTACCATCAGGTGGACTGTGTGCTCGTTTGTCACCCGATCCTATAAAAAAACCTACAAGGGTTCCGCATTTTGTTTTAGAGTTACGAAATCCTAAAAAATTATTATTCGATTCCAAAGTGTAACTTCTATTTTTAACCCCCGACGCAAAAGGAGATGTGTATATAAGTTTGACCGCTATGTGTGTCTGTCTGTCTGTCTGTCTGTGTGTTGAACCGGTTTTGGTGCTGTTTTGTTTATTTAAAAGTAGGTTTTCTGGTGGTGGTTTTTATACATGTTTTATCAAAAGCGGTTCAGCCGTTTCAAGGCCATCAGCTGTTTTGTTAGCTGCGGTAGGGTTTTTTTCGTGGGTTTTTAAAATTTTCAATTTATTTCATTTGATTTGAACCACTGTAT